TGTTCCTTTTTACTTAAAAAATGTACTATACTTTGACTACAAACACAACACACAAATAACTTTGAAATATTACAACAACTTTCAATCCTATGCGAATTTACAGTAACGAAGTAAACACATGAAATCCCACCGCTGCCACCAAATTTGTAACGTGTAACGGGCGATCAATGGATCCGTATCTGAATAAATCAGGATTTCAAGTGTTCAACTCAATTTTTCATTACAACCAGTTGTCCTATTCAAAACAATCAACACATCCATAAATGGATTTACAACGAAAAATATATACACAGCACAATGCACATAAATCAAAATGCAAGGTGAAGTACCTCATTCACAATGCATAAACACACTGTATCATAACAGAATATATATACACAATGTCACTATGCAATCACTATGCAACATGTATCAGACCGATTTATTCACAATGTCACTAACAGATTACTATGCAACATGCATACGGCCCTAAATTTATTACACAATGTCACCAACAGATTACTTTGCAACATGCATCAAGTAAGTATCACACAAAACGTATGAACACAAAATCACATATATACAACTTCTATTTACAACGTCCACCAATATGTAGTATCACCTTGTTAGTCTGCAACTAACCACAATAACACAATGACACAATTACACATGCACAAATCCTTCAATGCACAAGGAATATATATATAAACACAGCTGAACTCACGCACTAACTATCCCTTTGAGTTCCCACACACTGAATATTATTCAAACTGGTAAGGTTTAACACAGTGCACTTTCACTAATACACTTCCACAATATCACACATAGTACAACTTGCAACACCAGCAAGTATACACCTTGTATTCTCACTAATACAAATCTATGAAGTATCCACACTTCCACATAGTACAACTTGCAATACTTTGAACGACAAACGACAAATTTATTTTACTCGCGTAGTGGTATTTACCATATGTGGATTCTTAAGGGTTCTGAAGAACTTCTGGACATTTATAAATCTCGGTCTATTTCTGAAATTAATTCTAACATAACTTTTGATTTTTTAACCCTGTATACCAACATTCCCCATGTGAAATTATAAAATTGTTTTGAATAGACATTGAATGACAAACTTTTTTCTTATGTGACGTTTACATTTTCTGACGTCAGACACGCAAAGCAATGAATGTGGGTCTTAATTTGATAGATGCTTTTGTGCTTTTTTTGTAAATAATTGTTTGTTTTGATATTGTAACACAGTGATGACTGCTGTACCCATATTTTGACTATTTTATTTATAATGTCTGTTTTGTTCACGCATCGTTGTAAATATAACGGAATTTGATAAGACTGTCGTACAAGTGAGAGGTTTAGCGCTATAAAACCAGGTTCAATCCACCATTTTCTACATTTGAAAATGCCTGTACCAAGTCAGGAATATGACAGTTGTTGTCCATTCGTTTGATGTGTTTTGTCATTTGATTTTGCCATGTGATTAGGGACTTTCCGATTGAATTTTCCTCGGAGTTCAGTATTTTTGTGATTTTACTTTTTGCAACACCAGCAAGTATACACCTTGTATTCTCACTAATACAAATAACTTATTATATAAGTTTCACTTTATATCACAATCACTATTGCAATATCCACATATAAATCCGAACACTATTCATATATATCCTTTGGAATCACTTAATTCACTCTACTTACCAGTTGGAAAATAATCCCTGATGTTATCACTTCAACGGTCCACATAAAACTGACAGACTTTCTCTGTCTTGGGCTGGTTTATATACTACCATCTGGATCAGTCCATTATACTTAAAGGGGTGAAAATCAAGACTATACCAACTTTAGGGGTGTTTTAAGTAACAGATGGTGCTCCAACTATGGAGAAACTTATATACATATAGAAACACAATAAATAGGAAAAGACAACTGGTATTTCACATCAAAATAAATGAACTATGACCGATTTCCGTTACAGACCTTATTTTTTGTTTTAAAGCGATACATTTGAAATGCATAACCTTTTGAACTTCGAGTCATATATTAGATCATCATTGTAAGACAAACTAATTTGAATGATTAAATAATTTATTTTTTGTATAACGGCTTGATGCTTGTTTTATTTTTAATGACCACAAAGCATAGGCATAGTATACTTTGCACCGTTTTTGTTGTCATTCACCTGACTGTCCATTATATGCATATTTTCATATTATAAAAACCGAAATTGTACTAAAGGGACTTTACAATGGTTGTTACCAATGCATATTACCAAATGGTTGTCGTTTGTTGCTGTATATCATATTTGTTTTTCGTGTATTGTTTTGTACATGAATTAGGCCGTTAGTTTTCTCGTGTGAATTGTTCTAAATTTGTCATTTCGGGGCTTTTATGCTATGCGGTATGGATTTGCCCATTGTTGAAGGCCATTCGATGATCTATAGTTGTTCACTTCTACTGAATTTGTCTCAGGTTGAGAGTTGTCTCATTGGCAATCATACCAAATCTTCTTATTTTTATAATTACCTTGCTGATCTGCTCTAATGCATCCACCAAATTTATGCTATAGATATTTTTTCTATCAATTATACACATTTTATTCATAAGCAGTCTAGAATATTTGCAACTGTATACTATGATTAAGAAAGGACAGAACCGGGACATTGGTGCACAGAACCAGGACATTCATTTTTTTGTCACCGGCACTTTATTAGGATATTTTCATTTTGCGAATATATACGACTTTTGCAATTAAAAATCGTTGAAATATACTTCATAAGTATTGACAAAAAAGCACTTTACAGATTTCTTGATTATTGCCGTTTAAATACAATGTAAACAAACCCATCAGCACAGAACCAGGACCCACTAGCACCGATCAGGACCGAATCACCAGCACAGAACATTCTATTACAGGACAGCCTACCACCTAGTATTTCTTCGTGATCATTTACGTATCCAGGATTTCAGATTCTGAAATTATGCATGCATCTAAAAGGGCATTAGCTACGATTTAGACAAAAATTTTCAATACGATTCTTTTTGTTTCCAGTATTAATAAAAGCGGAATTTTGAAATAATATTTCGTTATAAGCAGTCAATTTGGCCTAAATTTGTGAAAATAAGATCAAAAACATCGCTGATGTATTATTAACTAGCAAGTCAATAATTTAACCTCATTGAATCCGTATTCATGTGAATTTCAATTTAACCCCTTAGCTAGAGATGGGTTGTGCATGTACTAGGCCTGATCGGCTTTTAAAGGAAAATGATGTCAACATTCAAAGTGAAACAAGAGTGAACCATTTGGTTGACTGATTCGATCTTCCAAAAATCATTCTCAAACGAGTAAAAACGATGATTAAAATATTTTTTGAACCTATAACATGAAATCAAACAGACTTAGAAAATCCAATTGCACGTGCTCGCTATCTATACATGTATTTATATTTTAATTTATGATTACATCGGGTTATATGACCGTCGGTAGTCTTCGGAAGTCATCTCAATTGTTAATTATATGGCGTCTAGACTTAAATACACACGAAATGCTGATACATATTATCGAGTCCATGCATTGTTACTTGTTTATTTTAGACTTTTGGTAATTTGGATAAACGTTTTAGTATGTTATAAATCAAATATGAAAATTTGAGTCAAATCGGCGAACACGGATATGATAACTGATGCCCCTTTAAAAATATAAAAATTTATTTTTCACGCTTTGCTTTTTGGGATGATATCTTATCTTTTTAGGGATCCAAATATGTCTTACTTGTTACATTGGAAATTATATAGCTTTAATGAAATACTTTGAGTGGTGGGGATGTAACAAAAATTGCGAATAAGATATATTTTGTTTGTAATATTAAAAAAATTTTGAAAGCAGAGAATGCAAAAATTAAGACTATACGATTGGTTGGAATTTACTGGATTTTAAAGCCAATTTATAAAGACAATATTAAGTTTAAAATCTTAAAACATCTCTCTCAAAACACTTCGACTGAAAATGGTGTAATAAACATAGATGCCCTCTCCCTGTTATTTTGAGACAATTGTCCAGGTTTAGAGTTTGGAGTTTGGTATGTGCTAAGGAGTAGGGTTTGCACCCCAAAAAAGGATCAATTAAGTCAGAATTATATGGTATCGAGTCGTTACTGTTGTCAAGAACATTTATACAAGAAAAGATAGATCAGTATTTATACAATAACGAATTTCCAGTAAACGAACAGTTTTATATCAATATGGTTCTTACAGCATAAATGCAATATCTTCTTTTAAGTTCAGAAACAGTGTGGCTGCAATCGCCTTGTACGTTCGTCCAACAAAAATATTTTCGTCATACTTTTCTCTGAAACATTGACTTTAATGTTTGGTCATCAGTGATGAGTTATATCGTGTAAGCACTTTTCGGGTCTGTCAGACACATATATTTCCTGTTGTTTTCGATACTTTGAATTATGATTGGTTGTATGCTTATTAGATTCTAGTTGAACTTGCCAATAGTTTTATGCTGGTGCATTTTTTGCTTATCCAAAATTGACGGTGACAACTCTTCAAATACAGTACTGTAATTCTTTTTCTACTGAAATACTCTTAAAATTTTTTAAATGAAACATTTCAAATATCTCGTAAACGTCGACTGCTATTGCACAACGTTGTGGCCAATGACTCCGACCGTCAACCGTGGAATTGATGGCAGACACCATTCGATCAAAATTGTCGTTACATGCCAAATTAAATTAGAATAAGCTTTTCATTACCTGCCCATAACACTGTGTCAGCATGTAGTATTATACTATTTGAACTGCAAATTGTCTAGATGTCTCTTTATTAGATCATCAAACTGGTTTTGTTACAAAACTGCGGTTTTTGTATACTTAGATTTTGTTCGTATTATCCCACCTCGTGTAGTTGGAGTGTCAAGTCAACTTTAATCGGATCTTTAATTTTCAACTGGTCTTCCACTTTATTAGCTCCGAAAGGCATCTACATCCTTCTTTTTATTGTAGGATATTAAACATGACAAACTGTTTGTCGCTGCAATAGACTTTGGGACAACATACTCTGGATATGCCGTCTGTAGACGACATGATTATCAGAAAAATCCAAACAACCCAAAAAATTAACGTTCGGAAATGGGGAGACGGAGTTAACAAAACAAATAAAGCTCCAACGTGCGTTTTGTTTGATCATGAAGAAAAATTCGTTAGTTTTGGGTATGAGGCAATGAATGATTTTCGATTAAACCCAAAGGAAATTGATTACAGCAAATGGTACTACTTTGAACATTTCAAAATAAAGTTGTTCAAGCAAGAGGTATTTTTATCTGTATTATTTAGATTTCCCAATTTCGTTGTGCACACATCAAAATTTTTAGCTTTGTTAGACTATTAAATTTTTACAGAAAAAAATATATGGGTCAATAGATAAATCATACAATATCATGCATTATGCATCCCTAGAACTTAAAAACGCAACTTTAATTAAATATTCTTCTCAAATCCCTATGTTAATGGTCCTTTCGAGGATTGAAATTTTTGTTATTTAATATATTTTCAGAAAGAAAACTCAATGAAGCTATCGGTTGCGTAAATGTTAAAAGTCTTTAGCATTATCTTAAAATTGTCTGAAAATATTTTAAAAAAAAAACCCTCACAGTCTTTTCATCGTGGCATTGTCAGTCCCGACTACTCAAAAAGCCTTAAGATGTCTACATTCACCATTTTACAGGACATAGTAACAAAGGAGACAATGTTAGAAGAATCACTAGCGATACAAAACCCAGAAAGCAAAAAGAAAATGTATGCAGTTGATGTTTTTGCTGCCGTCATTTCATATTTGACAGGAGAAGTCGTCAAAGAAGAGTTCATGCAGTCTAAAAAACATAAAGGAACTAAATATAAACTTGAAGATATACATTGGGTGATTACAGTTCCCGCCATCTGGGATCAAAATGCTAAGCTGTTTATGCAGGATGCAGCAAGAAAGGTAATTTTGCTACTACCAAATATTTGATTTTTTAATTCAGCAAGCTTAAATTGCAAGGTTTTTGTTTTCCATTATTATGGTAAACAAGTTGCTGCATTAGTCTCAACAAAGTTGTTTGATGGGTTGATGTATGGTATAAATCTTTCAAAAGCATAAACATAATTTCCAAATCCTACTCCATGCAGATCTAGAATTTGTTCGAATTTAATTTTCTGGAATATTGAGAAATCCGGATAATGAAATTTTGCAGGACGATTTATTGCATTATTTGCTTTAAATTGAAGATATTACAACAAATGTTATGTTGTAAACAAATATTATTTCATGTTTAAATATCATCTCCCAGAAACTGAGAATATGTGACATTTACGAAATGTGGTATGAATGCCAAACTATCCTCCAAAAATCAAAGCACAATGGTATAAACAACTACAGGCCCCGGGAACAGTCAGGATTCTACTTCGTCAAAATTATCTCCCCATTACGCCACCTAATTTTTATTATCGTAAAAATGGAAGCCATTGTAGTGATGACGCGCTGTCAATTTAGCTCTTGAAAACCGATATATTTATCCGCATAGTATTATTACGATCCTTATATGCCAGTTGTATTTTAAAAGACAAATGTATCTACTAGCTATTGAGCATCATTTAATGTACTTTTATGCATTTGGTCAACTTAAAACTATTGTCTGATCGGTTGTCAGGGGGAATTTTCGAAAGTTCAAAAATATTTTTAAAATTCTAATTAAATATTTCGTGGAAGGGCAGACTAAAAATTTTCAGAGGTTGAAGACTAATTACCTAGATAACACACACAAAAAATGAAGTTTTTTTGAAGTTATGCATTTTTAAGATCCACCAGAAAAGTTTGTCGTCAAGTACTTTTAGTAAACAATTGTTATTCGAACACGCTTCTCTGTTGTTATGACTCATTCGAAAGGTATTTCACTTGACCCATATATTTCATCTTTTAGTACTGTAAATTTGTAATGTTTTTGTATCAACCTACAGCCTAAATATATAAAAATAATAGAATCTGAAGCGAGATGATGTATCAAATTTTTTTTTTATACGTTTTCAAGACAGAATAGTCAACCCACACACACCTGAACGTAAAAAGGTGTACTCGACTATCTCTTTTCGATGAAATTATTGCCTATTTGGGGGATTTTTTCCGAAAAACTGTCACCGGGGGCAGAGATGCAAAGTGATGGTTTAAGAAGATAAAACTATTATCTTTCTTTGGAATTTTTATTTGCGGAATTTATGCTTATGCACAAAATAGATCCACGAGAATTTGCACCTACCAAAATAGACTGTTTTGTGGAAATTTGACTATAATAATTTAAAAGTTTACAAATATCTTGAAGTTCAATTCAATAATTTAAGTAAAATCACATACATAAGATGCATAAAATCCTAAATTAGGCACATTTATTTAACTTTTAAAGCCCATTGAAACAGACGTAAACAATTCAAATTTTACCATCTCTAATAAAGAGTTCCATTTCTTTTGTTTAATTTCAACTGGGTTTTCGCATGGGAAAACAAAAGGAAACACAATTTTTATGAGAAAAATAACGGTCTGGTTTGTGCTTAAACAATAAACGCAAAGCAAATATGGTAGACAGCAACCAACAACAACCACTGCATTACAATGGCTTTGAACAGGCACATAAAGAATGTGGCGTGGTGAAACATGTTTGTAACAACTGATAAATAGACCATTTCTTCCCAGAATGGAAAATCAATCAGCATGCACACCGCAAACGGATTTATTGTAAAGACGTTATAAGCAGTAAATAACATAGAATTAAAAATGCTCCTTTTTGTACTTTTATTATCGTTGTACATCGCTAACGGAACGCTAACTAAATTACGCACGGTGAACGCTTTAGGACTCTATAAAACTATAAAACTAAAAAAAAAAAAAAAACATGCATTCAATTCTTTTAATTACATATTTATGCAGGATTCAGAAAATTACGAGTTAAACCACCTTTTGTTGTTTTTCATTTAGAATTCCTCCGCATCGTTGTATCGGTGTCATAAACAACACGTGAAGTCTTAGGTCTTAGGTATTGCGTTTTATGTTAACATAATACATCACAAAACAGCACGTGAGTGTTTATGCTGGGCAAAATGATGGAAGCTACATGAAACATCATGCAATGTATTTATAACAAATTATTATTATTTTGAGCATCTATTTCATTTCTTTAATTATCAAATATATTATGGCGTTATTTGTCTTAAAGGCTGGAATATTGGGTAAAAACTTGACCTTAGCCTTAGAACCAGAAGCTGCATCAATTTACTGTCGCCGAGTAGCAGTGGGCGACTCAGAGGACAACGAGGGTTGTAAAGCTATTGCAGCACTGGGTATTGGGTCGAAGTATGTTGTCCTGGATCAAGGAGGTAAATACAAATGACTCATGAGTATACATTTAGCTAATCCTACAGTTTTTTTTTACTTTCCTTTCATAACGATTTTATCAGTTCAAACAGTTCAGTATTATATCTAATAACTTTTTATGATTACCCCTTTACAGCTAACCTTCCCATGTGTAGCTTTTATCATCCCTTTGCACCCATCCGTCTGTCGCATGGCAGTAATCCTTCTTAGTAAGACTACTTCAAAACTATGTTTGGCGTACCAACGACATATACAAATGTCATATGTTAGTGAATCAAACACGAGTGTGAAATATAAAACTGAAGTTGCATATCATTTATATTGTAACAACATTATATCTTGAAAGTTTACTATATACTGTTCAGAGGGAAATAATCTTTACAATATTAGTTGATCGTCTACTATATTAACATGTGTCTGCTCCATAGGCTTACATGCAACACAGCTGATCTTTGAAAGTTTTTAAAAATAAAATGCAAAAAAAAAATTACATATCATGTATGTAGTAATGTAAAATTGTGATTTAATGGGAAAAAGTGCCTCGTGCCATGATAAACAAGAAGTGATGAAACCCAGAAGTCAAAACTACCTTTTTTTACTTTCTGTTTGCTGTTTTCACTAGTCCACACCACTTCCAGTAAACATGATATCCTTCCACTTTCCTGGTTTGATATCCAAACAAGAGGCAACATTTGTTTCCATCTAAATACATGTTTCAATTCAGCATAAACTTTTAATCAAACAGAAAAATTGAGTCCAGAAAAAAATTCAGAAAAAAATGGCTATTTTATTTCACTTCATGCACCGGAAACAGGAGTAGTCATCAAAAAATCATTGTAATCATTGTATGAAATTTAAAACCCGCAAGGGTCCATGATAGGTCAACTAAAGAATATCTATTTCTATTTCTATTTCTATTGTACATGTATGTGATGTAAGAGGCCGGTTCATTGTGCATTATTCGATATTCATTATACAATCGATCGACAGCCGACGGTTTTATATTCAGATTTCTTTATATGGTATGTTCTCTGTATATTACCTGAATTACAAACCTGTTCTTGCAATTTTCATTGTTATTCAACGCAAAATAATTATCTAAGATACCTGGGACGATCTCATTTCATAAAAGATCTCTTTTGTTTACTTATTGTTCCTCGAACTTATTAACCCGGTATAGGTCTTTAAGTTGAGGTTTAATTTACTAAAAGTAAATCGGGAATGACTAATTAGACACGCCCTGTTAGAATCAGGGGGTCCAAAATAGGATCGGGAAAAAACAGCCAGCAAAATACCATAATTAACAATTTCAGAGAATCAAAGATCTTTTGGTTCATAATATCTCCGGCCAATAATCAGACGGTATTTGAGTGGAATTACAAACCTGTCCTAAACCGGGAAATGTTGGCTGCAATAGGAATTTATTTACAAATTAAGTCTATATCTCATTTACCTATAGTGGCCGTTATTGATTGTAAATTCGTGTCGTTTTGTTTTTGGTATTCGAAAAAAGAGGGGGAAAAGGGGGGGGGGGGGGGGGGGGGGGGGGCTAATAGCTTAACTTACGATTTTAATCATGGTTCACTTTATTCTAGTACGATATAAACCTCTAGTCACCGCTCTATCTTATTAAAGTGTCACTCTAAAATTGTAATCATTTGCTTCAGGTCGATCCGTTTTGCATCTCGTCGTGAATATGCGTGACCAGAGACATATATACACATATATATATATATGTCTCTGGCATGACATATTTGCCCTTGGACATTAATGGAGCAATCAATTAATCAGCTTCATTTAGTGACGTATAACCTTTAGTCTTCAGTTGATGATTGTCTCAAACAGTTTTTCTATATTTGATTTTTATTCATATTTGATATTTTAAGCGTAATTTTAGCATTTTTTTCCTCATTTTTCTCTTTGCATTTTTTTTTTTTTTAACATTAAATAACGTAGTCCACATCAGGGGTTACATTGTATCCTATTCAGCCAAACTAGGAGGAGGGGCGTAGAACAGAAAAAAATCTTCTTTGAGTGGCAATAACTCATATATTTAAGCGTACAAAGACGGTGACAAGTGTCAATTTTTTTTTATATCTGGTATAGTTGTCATAAAAGAAAAATGTATAAAAACAATGTTGGCAACAATTTATCTTTAGATATTGTCTTACTATTAAAAGTTAATTTTCTACAATTGTCCTTGCAAAAGGCGCAAAAATGTGTTAAATTCAGCCATGCGACTTATTTGAAGATTAAGCTGACCTTTGTTGTTGTTTGGAGATTTCAGTCATTCGACTTTTGCGTAGATCGTATTTCCCCCTCAAAGAGTTATTCAAATTGTTCTTTAACGTATAGTTAGCGTGAAACTCTCACTACACCAAGCATCGGATATACGACATTAATTTCTATTTCGACCGGACAAAGCTGCGTATTTATACATCCGAACAGACAAACGGACGCACCCCTTTAGCAAGGGTATACTGTCGGACCGGAGAAGTCTAGAGATGTCAATATTTCTATACCCAAGTCAATCCTTTGGTTTTGAATAAAAGGAGATAAAGGTATACATTAATTTGACAACAACCCAACGACACAGACAAATCAAAATATTAAGAGTCAACATACAGTCTTTTGTAATAGAAAGATGCCTATACAGAATAATAAGCTCAAAACCGCCACATGACTAAAAAATATGGAGTTAATTTAATAATATTTACCGTCAAAGATATCCAAACAGTAACAAGTGTTTGGTTCAAAAATATCACCTGCCCTTTTTTAATTTCGATCAGTGGAAATTAAAGAAGGTGTAATATAAACCATTAGAAGAAAAACACTTCACTGTATAGTAACGGTAAAATAAATGATGGCAACGGATGACGTCCAGCGGCAAATTAAATGCATATTCAGGACGTAAACATGTAAATTTAGTATAATATGAATATTAACCCTGCTTTGTACTAGACCAACACGCTGAGCCGGGTTTTTAACGTGTAAGTTCACAAGCTAACACTTCGCAGGAAGAAAAGTAACCCTACCCGGACACATTTTTAACTCAATGCCTACACGTCTGTATTCTTACTCATAAATGCCGCGTGTTTAGCGTTGAAACAGCAAATACCAATTTTTACGGCTTTGTTTGGCCCGGCTGGGATTCAAAACAACAACCTCCCGCTCTCGAGGCGAACACACTCCCACGAGACCAACCAGGAGAGCGGTAGTATAGAATATTATACCAAAAACCGAAGTACAATAAACAATACAGTTTCACAGAATTCTCACAGTTACTAAAGCGAGCTAAAAGTATCCAACCTAAATTAGTTGCGTTAAATGATATTAGAAACTGCACGTAAATATCGATGGCCGACTTCAGAGTAGACTTCACGGATCAATTGAAAATTCTTGCACCAATTATTTGAGGGGTCCGGATGTGGCCAGCTGTTGCAAGGCTAAATTTCTGTCCTTATTCAATATACCCTCATTTTCCAGCGGTATTCCAAGTTTCACGTCCAACCTCACTGTCGATCTCCTATTGCAAGACCTACCTATTGTATTTAAAATGTATGTGTTCTCGTCAGGAACATGCATGAACTATTTACCACTGGACGTAAAGCAAACAACAATCAATCAACTTCATAAATTATTCCATGTACATAGTACACGAAGACAAGATCTTGTAAAATGCTATAATATAAAATTTCCATTTAAATCACTCAATTATAGTGCAACATTTTTTATGTTTTTTTGGGTTATTTTTTGTAATTTACTACATATATAACCATGTGATAACTGAACGCTTATAATCTTTTTTTTAAATATTTCAGTAGTGTGAAAAGGGGGATTCTACACCACCCCCCAATTTCAAGGGCAAAACCTGCATAGGACCCCAACCCCGAGGCTAAGATGCAATCCGACAGCGTCCCTTCTTAGCGTATAATAAATCATGACTTTTGTGCACAATGGTTTCGTCGACACAGATGACTTTATCAGCGAAGACACCTTAGAGAGAAGGGTGCCCCAAATTGAAATAAATAAAAAGATGGCATCGGGTAAGAATATCATGGATCAGTACGCAGATTTCTTCTTGGAGAATCCGGAAGATTTGAAGGATATCGCCCCAATCCCAGTTCCAGCCCCAACCCCAACCCCTCAGCAGCACTACAGCAACCACATGATGGTACTTATGGATGATAGGACCCGCATGTGCCAAACCTGTGGTATGGAAGAGGTGTATCAGCCCTTTGAGCATGCTCAGGGTGAAGTACCCTCGACCTGCAGTGTTCCCTTGAAGAGGAAGAAGGGGCAATTTTGCAAGAGTAAGCCGGGAAAGGATGGGCTCTGCTGGAGGCATAGCAAGCAGCCATGCCAACAGGACGATGATGATGAGAACATCCCCATTGGAGGTAAGATCAAGGTCAAGGAGACCATCAAGGAACTTCGCCGAATAGCTAAGGATGAGGGTCTGAGGGGGGTCAGCAGGATGTTGAAGGAGAAGTTGGTCAAACTCATCGAGGAGAAAACCAACCGGAAATTTGCCCGCGAAGAGGTCTTCACAAAGAAGGAGCTGAAGGCCATCGCCAAAAGACGCGGAATCACCAAATATTCCCGACTAGGAAGAGCTGCCCTAACCGACCTGGTGAAGAAGGATATCGAAAATGCCCCAGTGGAAGACGAGATCAAGGTAGTCAACCGACTCGATGCATTGAAAGGAGTCTTTGGCACAGTCAGAATCGACCCGCTCCAGCAGCATGATTTGGAAACGTTTTTCCAGGTTAGTCGCAGCACCATCTCAGGACGATCGAAGATGCCCTCACCCGAAAGAAGGGCTTGAAGGTACAGCTAGTGTTGAAAGTGGAGCTGGTCAAAACGAATCTCGCGACTGGGGGGAACACCTACGTTATCCCTTACTTCAGATCAGCCCAGACAGTCATCACCGAATCAGCAGACCTCGACTTTGAGATTCCGGTCATGGTAGGGAAGATCAAGGAAAGCATGTCAAGGTATA